GAGAGAGAGAGAGAGAGAGAGAGAGAGAGAGAGGGAGGGAGGGAGGGAGGGAGGGAGTTGACATTGAGACTTGTGGACTTTCGGGCTTTGCCCAGTTCAGTGACATTGCCACTTGACATTGTATGAGCAGCGAAATTCGGGATAAATTGGAGACCGGGTTCATCGGGCTATGGTGGCTAATCCTCTCTTTCTCCCTCTTCCCTTCGTCTCTTATCCCCTCTTCGTCCGTGGATGTATTAAAGCCTGCGTTGCTCGCGTAAAACATAAATCTTGGGTTCCTCGCCCCTTCCATGATTGTTGTGCTGAGTCTCCTCACATAAGTGATGACGATTGTTGGCAGTCCCATCGTTGTCCTTGCTGAGTCAGATCTTGGTATTTCAGTCTTCCGCTGTAAGCTACTTTTGTATTGTCTCTGAGAGGTCAGTTCTTGGTTCTGATCGATGCCGATTAGGCATGCGACGATAAGCAATGCCTCTGATTTCATTCATTCACAATAAACTGCAGAAAAAGCAGGACAATGACCTGACCCTCAGGCGGGCACACTGTTTCCCTGACCCCTGCCCCGACCTCGTCCCTCCCTCCCCCTCCTCCACCCTTCTCCCCCCTCCCTCATCTCACCAGCTCAATGGCTGGACCTTCATAGTATAACCATTAAAAACGCTGCAGACAGTGCAGAGCAGTTGTCCTTTCTTAGTTCATCACGAGAACCTAATCAAATAATTGTGAGCCCCTTCTTGGTCTTCGATATATACCTGTCCGTCCGGTCACAGAGATAACCATACCGTTGAATCTACACACGCAAACCAGAAGGTAGCATTGCTTCAAAGGCGACTGCTGAATCACACTGGGTTGGCGCAGAGATGCTGGGCTCAAATGAGAGACACTGCATTGCTGTACAGTAGAGGATAATCAAAGGACCCTCCCTCGTTTGGGTTGAAGAGGCCTGGTCATTGCCCATGATTCTATGACCTGGAAATGTTCACGGGACACTGGGCCCAGTTGGCACCACACGACCTTCCCGGCCGGCAGCACGAGCCTCCACAGAGAGCACAGAGGATGGACAGACCTGCCTAGCTGGGGCTTCCTCAGTTCTGCTGGCTCCCTGACCATCTCCACTTCACCATGACACCTCCCCCCCCCCTCCCCTCCTCCCTCCCCACTGTAAAATGAAACTTTAAAGAGTAAGAGTGAAAAACTGGATAGAAAACTTGAAAAGTTGTTCAGCGTTTATATGACCTTAGCCCCACTACACCGCAATGAAAAATTCTTCAGAGAAAGAGAACGGACCAATCAGCAGCATTGCAGCTTCGACTATCGGCGATCCGTCTGTTCGCATGTACGAGCGAATGTGCCCCACTACACCGCAATGAAAAATTCTTCAGAGAAAGAGAGCGGACCGATCAGCAGCATTGCAGCTTCGACTATCGGCGATCCATCTGTCCGCATGTACGAACGAATGTACGAACGAATAAAGCAACTAATAATAGACCCATCATGTCACAGCTAGATAAACAGAAGATACTAAAAACTTCATAAAAACTTAATAAAAACGTCAAATTGAAACACGATTAAGAGATTGTATCTGTTCCGGTAGGAAATAAATAAATAAATAAATAAATAAATAAATAAATAAAAGAGATCTTGGCATAACAGAAAATCAAGGGGTAGGGGTACAGCCGTACACAAAGAAATACACAGAGGTCCTTTCTCTGAGGTGTGGGCTGCCATTTTTTCAACTCCGGAGCCGCAGAAGTGCCACCACCATGTGAGGTAAGATTACTTGGGTGAAAAATGTGCAAGGACTCCCAACTTCCGAAGGAGACCATTGTGCCACAGTGACCAGGTAACTGAGGTAAGCTTCGGGACATACGACCATTTCACCTGGATCTGGCCATGAATACAGTCAGGCACATCCACAACAGAAAAAGTCTCAGAGTGAGCAGCAGTGTGCCTGCAAAATGAGGCAGGGGTGGGGCCCTACAATTGCTGATCAGCCCTACAATTGCTGATCATGTGAGAGGTGTCAGGACAAATGGCGTCTGAGACAACAAGCCCCCCCCGCTTATGTAGTCTTATATCAATAAAATAATGAAGTAGTCGTATATCAATAAAATAATGCAAGTGTCTTATATCAATAAAATAATGAAGTAGTCTGATGGGTAACATAGAAGACGGTCTCAGCTGAAAAGCAGGGCGAAGAATCTGATGAAGAAATCATTTGCTGGGCCCAAAGCAAGGACGTGGAACGTAAAGGAGTTCAGCTCATCTGGTCCCCCTCCTTTCATCATCTCCAGCATCAGATCCCATTCATGGCATCTTATCCCGACCTTATTCGGTCTCAATGACATCGGGTCTTACCGCTGGATCCGATCTGATCTGATCTGCCTGCTGGCAGTGCTAGGTGATCTGAAAAAAAGCAGATTTTCTCTATCAATATCAAATTTGCGGGTTTTTTTCTGCGACACCATTCCCAGTTTCCATGACAATGGAATATTTGAGTTTGGTAATGAATTGCTCGTGTTGGTTCAAAAAAAAAAAAAAAAGGTTCGCGCACGCGTTGTTGGATCCGCTGCTGAGTCCCACAACATAACATGCCGTTCTTTCTCGGATCGCCTGATCAAATTTGCAATCCGGTCGGTTTGATTTGCTTGCGATAATCACGCCGAAATCAATCAACCAATCACGCCATTATTATCACACGAACATCTCGGATCGCCTGATCAAATTTGCAATCCGGTCTGTTTGATTTGCTTGCGATAATGACGCCGAAATCAATCAACCAAGCAATCAACCAATCAATCAACCAATCACGCCAGTATTATCACACCAGCATGCAACATGCACGGCCCAACCAAACCAAGTTCGCTGCAGTTGGGGGAGGGGGGGAGGGGAGGTTGGCGGGGGGGGGGAGCGGGGGAAGAAGGACAATGACAATTGCGCGATGAGGGGGATGACGGAGAGTTTCTGATGATAATAATAATGAGATCATTAAATCATGAGGAGGATGAGATAAAGTGAGATCATTCTCTGAACAGAGCATAGAGCGGTCATAAAAAAAAAAAAAAAAAAAAAAGCTGTATTTGGGCCAACTTCAAGTCTATAGATACAGCCATAATGACCGTACGTTCTCTATTCCGGTGAAGAGCGCAGAGTGATCATTCCATGGTATCATGTTGCATGATGATGACCATGATGATTGAAATTGAAAATGGCGGGGCGCCCACGACACGATGGACAGTTATGGGTCATTATCATCATCGTCAACATCACTAAGTATCAAGTGAAGAAGGGGGGCTTGATACGTAGGATGTACGTTCCCCAGTTGGTAGCTATTGTTCGGATAGTCCCAGGAGAGTACTGGCAGGCAAGCCAGACATTGCCTTGCTCATCGACGGTGGAGCCCGAGGAGTCCCCCCACCTTGCGACCCCGTCTTCGGAGCCCCCTGCTGTCAAATAGCCGCTGAAGCCGTCATGGGGCTCTATTCCGGAGGAAATTATGTGCACCTTCCCTGCCCCTCGAGAGCTGATGGGCACGTAGCCCACGCTGGGGAAGTAGTGGGGCCCCACGAGGGTGAACGTGGCGGCGCCTCTCCCCTCCTCGTTCACAGCCAGCGCCGGGACTATGACGTTCTCCCCGAGTACGGCAATGTAACCTTGATTGATGACTGTGGGGCTCAAGAAGAGCGGCCCTCCCGCGTAGTCTGAGGTAAGATTGGGATGGATGCACAGCCACAGGAAGCCCGCTCGAGTCCTCACCTTGTCCCTCCACTCATCTTCCTTGGAGGTTGGGATGGGCAGGTCGTATGCCACGGCAGTCGCGACCGCGGTCCACAACTTCCCGTCAGCGAAGGTGGTCTTCGTCAGCCGCGTGTCTCCGCTGTCAAGCACTTCCAGCTGCGCCGCTCCCTCTCGATTTCCCTGCGCCAGCGCGCCCAGCGGGCGATCCCCGTCCTTCTGGTCCGCGTACGGCGGCTGCAGAAAGGGCGCGGTGTCCACCAGCACGTTCATGAGCTGCATCCCCGCGCGCAGCGTCCTGTCCGCCAGCGACAGCGTGTTGAGCAGCGCCCACACCGCCACCTTCCCGCTCGCCGCGGAGCTCAGGAAGTAGTGCACTCCCGTCGTCGAGTAGCGCGTGGTTTTCGGCAGGGGCGCGGGCGCGTTTGCGGGGCGCAACCCGCTGGCCCTGGACCTGTCGTTCACGTGGACGTTGGTAAAAAAGGTGACGTCAATCGAAGTGGGAGCGGAGACGAAACGGTCCTTGCCCAGGGCGTAGATCTGCGCGCCGACAAACGCGTGCGCCTTGTCGTTTGTGTAGTGATCGACGGTCACGAACAGCCCGAATCGATCGGCACCCACGAAGGGGTCGTGGATGACACACGGACACCCTTCGATGGCAGGCCAGCCCTCCACGTTGCCGTCTCCGCGCGTGGGGAGCGCGTAGATGTGATGGCGCTCCATCGGATCGTCCGTGTCGCTCACGGACAGCGCCAGATGCATGTCCTGGTCCACCTGCCCGACCCCAGCTATGATGAAACTCTCTGTGTCCATGTCGTACATGCACTTAGCCTCGGTGACGTAAGATCGACCAGGCGGGAGAAGGAAGAACTGCGCGAGCGGGATGGGGGGCATCAATCGACTCCCGTTGACATCATAGACCAAGAAGGCGGAGTTCACTAGCTGCACGACCTTGCCCTTGCCGACGCAGATGGACACGTCAGAAGGCTCGACGGAGGTCTGACCCAGATAGTAGTCCCCATTGCCGCACTCGGTTTGATCGAAATTGTTCATTCCGTCGAAACCCCAAGCGAGGGTCGGCTCGGGCGGATCAATGGTGGTGGGGACCACCGTCGGTGGGAGGGGGGCAGCGTGCGAGGCTGCCTGCGACGGCGGGTGGAAAGATTCTTTGCCCTGGGGGGTCTTCGACTGGCCTATGTTGCTCACAGTGGCCCGTGGATCGGGAACCTTCACGTTGACGGACACGTCGAAGACGCCTTGCTTCTGGATGACCGCAATGCCTGAGGGCGAAGTGCGGACAGGAGTGGTGGTGGTGGTGGTGGTGGTGGACACTTGAGATATGGAAGCTTTCAGCGATGAAGAGGCCGACCTCGTGGAGCGGGCCGTCGAGACTCGCAGCGATGAAGACGCGGCGCTCGAGGAGGGGGAGGGGGAGGAAGTCGCCGACGATTTCGTACGGGAGGAGGAGCGATGGGAGAAGGAGTGGGAGGAGGGGGAGGGATGGGGGGAGGCAACAGCCCATGCTTTCTTATAGCCGATCACGATGGTCAGCAGCGCAAGCGTCAATAATACCTGCTTCGTCATG